TCCCACTCTCCTTCCCTCCTTCCCTGTGCACTGGCCCTCATACCACAGCGTTTAGCCTTGGTCCATGTTAAAGGTGTCTTACATGTGTTGCCGCCTCAAGTGTTTGCTTTCATTACATTTTCATTATGTAGTTCTCACGTGATTCATAATCGGCCCATTAGCGATAACTAACTGGGTTAGCATCAAGCGTAAAGAAAACGATTTAAAGGCTCAAACCGTGCACACGGCTTTAGTTAATTGAAAAGGTGTTCAAGGTATTTTGCTTCGCTTTTCTTATGAATGCAGCAAAGATAACATCTAGTAAAACTAGATCAACTTGAAAACCAAATAAGTTCGTATTTAATATTAGCTATATACATATTCATTTGAAGCCAAATGAGAAAGCAAAATGGTTTGAAAAATCTGTTGAAAAGTTAATGTGAACACTTTAGCAATAAGAATTCCTTCAGTGTACAGCAAATTCTTATTGGAAGCAGGTTTACGCTCTTTTGAACTTTATTTTGATTCTTCGTCTCTCTCCTTCTCACGGCCTGTTGTAGGTCAAGTGCAAGCTTTGACAAATTGTTTGTCTATTTGCGTCTTAAACAATTTTGTTGCATTTGACAGGCGCCGACATTAAATAATAACACCTGACAGCGGCACTCAACTGCTACAACCACTTCCCCACCACCACTACCACCGCCACCACCACTAACACCATCACCTCCCCCATTCCAGTCAGTCTCCTCAGCTACCGTTGTAACTCCCCACACAGCTGTCAGCATAAACGACGAGTGACTCGCTCACAGTTTTCGTTTGCCTGCTTTCTCTCTCTGTCTCTCTCACTCACTTCTATGTGTGTCTGCATGCGTGTATGCACACAGCACTCTCAAACTCTCACGCTCTTGCGCTCTCACTCCTCTTTTTCGATACTTTCTTGCTTCGGTGCCCTTTGGAGCTTATGAGCTGAGTAAATGTATTTCCGAATGTCAAAAGCTATATATAGTATACCTTCCCGTATATTTGTATATTTATGTGTCTATCAACAAAACGGTGGGCGGGGCGTGACGGGGCGGTGCTGGGCTGGGCTGGGTGGGTGCTGTTGCCGTTGACAGAACGTCATCATAAGCTTCAACAGCAGCAGCGCATCATTGTTGTAATTTGAAAATTCATAGTTGTCGTGTGACGTCAGAGCGCAGACAGCCGAGCCGTGGGAGTAACACAAAGCGAATAGCGCTGAGAACCAAATATTGTGAGTGTACGCAGAACGGTGCTGCGTTGTTGGTTTCCTTGCTTCGTTTTGTTTCGTTTTGTTGTTGTTTTCATTTATATCTATTAGTTTTTATTGTTGCCGCCACTTCTGGCTGCGTTTGTCTACGTGCTTTTAAACATGCTGCCTCTGCCGCTGCCGCTGTCGTAGTCGTATGTCATTGCACATTGGAGGAAATGCCAACAAAATGCAGTCATTATGAACAAAGCCTGAAGTGTTATCAATATATA